AAATGATTAATAATCCTTAATATTTAAAAAATGTAATATTTTAACTTAAATGTAATAAGAACATTGATTAAGACAAGAGGGAAAGTGCAAAGAAGTAAATGGATAATATTTTTAGTGTATATTAGTAAATCTTGAAAGAATAGTTATACATTCTTTCTTAATATTTTCTTTAAAGGAGGTGTACAGGCCCACTATATTTAAAAAAAAAAAAAACTGTCTGTCATTGAGAAATAAGATAAAATGTTTATATTTATTTGTCACTTATAATAGTGATGTTAATATAGTTAGCCCTGGCAATAGCTACATGTATGGGGGGAAAAAAAAAAACATGATCATATATCTTTTTTTTTTAAAGAGAGATTAGAAGGGAGAGGAAGATGGAAACATCAGTGTGCCTCCTGCATGCCCCCCTACTGGGGATTGGACCTGAAACCCAAGCATGTGCCTGAGCTAGAATCAAACTGGGACCTCTCAGTCCATAGGACGATGATCAATCCACTGAGCCACACCACCCTGGCCGTATATTTCAGTTAAAAAAAATTTTTAATCATCCCTGGCTAGTGTGGCTCAGTTGGTTGGGTATTGTCCCATGCACCAAAAGGTCATCGGTTAGATCCTCAGTTAGAGCACAAGCCCAGGTTGTGGTTTCCATGCTTGGTTGGGGCGAGTACAGGAGGCAACTGATTGATGTTTTGCTCTCATGTCAATATTTCTCTCTCTTTCTCTCCCTCCCTCCCCCTTTTTCTCTCTCTAAATATCAATTAACGGAAAAAAATGTAATTACATTGAAGAAAGTTTGGCAAATAGAGAAGAAAAATATATCACCAATAGTATCATCGGCACAGTATAAATCCTGTAGGTATGTTGGTATAATATGTAGCCTTTTTTGTCTGCATTTTCCTTTGCATAACTACTACTAATCTTGCTTGTTATTAACAGTATATAATTATGTCTGTTGTTATTGCACAGTAGAAGGTATATTTTTTAAGAATTCATCTTTTTGCCCTGGCTGGTGTGGCTCAGTTAGTTGGAGCATCATTCTGAGTACTGAAAGGTTGACAGTTCGATCCCTAGTGTGGGTGTGTATGGGTGGCAAGTTAATGATGCTTTTCTCATACAGAGATGTTTCTTTCGCTCGCTCTCTCCCTCCCTTTTCCTCTCTTTTTCTAAAATCAATAAAACATATTCTTGGGTGAGGATTAAAAAAAAATGTTTTTGAAGATTCACTTAAAATTTAAAATGAAGCTAAGATATTTTCAGATACAAAAGATAAATCTCTTGACTCACTGATTTCATTTATTTATTTTTGGTCAAGCCTTTTCAGAGCATCTGAATCTGTACATATTAATCTTTGGTTTTATAAATATGATCAGTCATTTCCAGATTAGAGTTTCAAAATGAGCTCTGTGAATTTGCTCCTATGAGAAATTATTATTATTATTATTTTATCCTCACCTGAGGACATTTTTCCATTTTTTTGTTCAGGTAGAGTGGGAGGGAGAGAGAGGAACAGAGAGAGAGAGAGAAACATCGACGTGAAAGGGACACATCGAGTGGCTGCCACTCGCACGACCAACCAGGGCCAAGGACAAACTGCAACGGAGGCACGTGCCCTTAGCGGGAACCGAACCTGGGTCTCTCTGAACCACAGGCCGACGCTCTTAACCATTGAGCCAAACTGGCCAGGGCTGAGAAACTATTTTTAAATGTTATCTGAATTTGGTATGTTTTAGTTACTACTGCTTCTTTTTTTTTTAGTGGAAAAGTATAAGAAGAAATAAAAAGGTACAAATAAATAAGGTGGGGAGCACTTCCTGAAATGGCACCCCTGTATACATTTTCTCCAAATACTCCACAGATCTGATTCCTAGCCCCACTTCATACTTGAAGTGGTCTGTTTCTATATTCGCCGTGGGCAGAGTCTTCTAGAACAGAGCAATATTTTATAATATTATTCTGCTTCCCCAACATTTGGCCAAGTTTCTAGCACATAGTAAGCACTTACTGAACACTCAGTGACTAAAAGAAGAGAAAAAAATATGCACATACACTAAGCATGAGAGAGGACAGAATTATATCAGGATGCTTTTTGGCTGTAAGTTACAGAATTATCAACTACAAGTGGCTCAAACAATAAGGACATTTTTTTATTTCACATGACACAAAGTTCAGAGTTAGGGCAGCTCTAAGGTAAGTTATGCAGCTGAACAGTGTCATGGAGGACCCAGATGTTTTTCATTGTTGTACTCAGCCATCCTCAGCATATTGGTCATTTCTTTTGTTATAGTTGCAAGATGTATATAGGAGTTCCAGATGTCATTTGTAGACATGGCTATGTCCAGCAGAGAGGCAGTGTTTCCTCCTGTGTATCTCTGTTTATGACTGAGGAAAACTTTTTACAGATGCTTTTAGCTGATTTCTACTCAGGTCCCAGTGTCCAGCATTGGTTAACAAGCCCATGACAAAGCTATTGGGTAGACACCAAGAGTCACTGGCACTGAAATGCCAGAGGAAGCAATAGCAGGGAAGAGGAGAAAGATGTGTCATAGGAGAAAGAGTAGTGATAGGAGGCAGGTTGAAAGAGCCTGTATTTTGTGTAGTATAGTAGAGTGTGTATCATGCAGATGACAGTTTTGTAGAATCATATACATATGGAGATGTAAATTATAGGAAATCACAAGTACAACATCACTAGGCCCAATCCAGGTTTTTGAATGCTTCATTACCTTCATGGCAAATCTTTCTCCAGTGATGCCCTCAGCCTTCCCCACATTTAACAACACTACTCTAGAGAGAAGAGAAAACAGCTTACAATGAAATTGGGTAGCAAGTTAGAACAGAGTTTGCTTTATTATTAACATTATAGAGTTCAGGGAAAAGAGGATATGGCGCTAGATTATTTAAGATAAATATAAGGCCCAGCCAGAGTGGGTCAGTTGGTTGAGGGTCCTCCCTTATTGGTTTGAATCCATTGGGGAGCATGTGGAGGGGGCGGAGGGGCAGCTTACCAGCTGATCTATGTTTTTCTCTCTTTTCTTTATCTCTCTCTCTCCCTCCTTCCCTTCCTTTCTCTATGCATGTCCTTGGTTGAGGATTGAAAAAGAAAGAAAAGGAAAAGCCCTGGCTGGGTAGCTCAGCTGATTAAAGTGTCATCTCGATACACCAAGGTTGTAGGTTCGATCCCTGGTCAGGGTACATATAGGAATAGACCAATGAATGCATAAATAAGTGGAACAAGAAATGGACGTTTCTCTCTCTAAAATCAATACATTTAAAAAAAATGTGTGGGATTACAAAGACAATGGATGTTTTTGTTTTTAAATTTTTAATGGACTTTTTAAAAAAAGAACCTTAACTTTTTATTAATACTGTTTAAAAACTTGTAGTTTACTGCAAATTCTTGGCTCTTGGAAACTATGCATGAAAATGAAAATACATAAATGATGAACTAATCTTTATACTGTCTAGAAACAAAATGTTCACCCCATTTATATATATATATATATCTCCTAGGTACCCGTAAATATGTACAATAAAGCTGATATTACAACACTCATATAATTTGGAGTGAATTATTAACATGTTAATAATTAACACAAAATATAAAAATTATATATAATATCACACTTTATGTTTCCTTCCATTTTCTCTAGGTGAAGTGGGAGAGAGAGAGAAACAGTGATCACCTATTTCACCTGCTGTCTTGTTGGTCTTCAGGCAATTGCAGTAGAGTCACAGTGATACTTCTGAGGAATTTACAGTACTAGGTTGATATTCCAGTCTGTTTTTTTCTCCCCAAAAGCCCTTTTTCTCTTATCTGCTTCTAGTTATTGTGATTACATATTGACTTTCTATTGTATTTCATATTTCACACTAGATTTTAAAAATTGAAACATATTTGCTAATCAGTGTAGTGTTAATTTGTAGAAGTCTGTCATCTGCACCTAACCCGTATTTTCTAACATTATTTCCTTTTAGAAAATGTGATATTACTCATCTTTTGAAAAATTAAACACTGTATTTTCTTTAAAGATTTTAAGTGATATGCTGAATGAATAACTTGGCTATAAAAACATAAATTGTCAGGCCACTATAAATGTGGGAAATGAGAACATAATGTGAAAGGAAGAGATTATAGATATAGTTATATGTGATTTAGTAGGGGAGACCTTGAATACAATGAAAGTAGCATCATGTAACTGTGTATTGTGCTTTATGCTTCTCAAAAGACATTTTTTACACATTTATTATATGAGTCTACCTATCTCTATCTAAAATTTAAAATGTGTTATTTTTATAGCTGTTATTCTTGGACACACAAGTAAATCAATGTGTATATTCAAAAGATATTTGTTCCTGACAAGTAAAATGCTTAAGATAAATTTATTCCTTTATCTAAATATTAACATTTATATATATTAAAGCTTGCTGTTTAGTCATAGATCTCATTTTGAGTGTTTTTATCTGTACAATAAAATGCACCTTTTTATTTTATATAATGTTTTCTAAAATATTTAAAAAATACTATAAGATGAGTGGAATTTAAAAATCAACATTATTAGCACAAGATTTATGTTAATATTTACTCATGTAAATAGTACAGAATACTGCCTAATTAGTGTGGTTGGTAAATTTTTGGTACTTTAATTTTCTGTTATTGTAAACCACGCATAAAACGCTTGCCTATTGAGAAGTGAGAATTGTCAGAGCTTAAATAGCTGACATCTGCTTACTCTCTTAAAAAAAAGAACAAGCCATTTCAGCCTAATCTACCTCAAATGTGTTCATGTAAATGGAGGTCCATCCATTGACCTGTATTCTTTTCAGCTCAAGATTGGTCCACATGGTTTATCAAACCAGGAAGGCTGATTTGAAATGCAGATGTCGAGACAGTGAAGTACACCCTCCCCTTTTTTCTTTGCTGTATCTGTCAGGGTGTAAATGGCTTGCACAAGGGTCAGTCACCCATACTCACTTAATTACTTTTCTTGGACCCACAGAACTGTCACAAGCTGTGGTGGATGCGGAAGCAGTTCCTCTTTTAGTACTCTGTATCCAGGAGCCAGAAATCGCTTTGAAAAGGATTGCTGCTTCGGACCTCAGTGATATTTCAAAGCATTCTCCAGAGTTAGCACAGACAGTAGTGGATGCAGGAGCCATTGCTTACTTAGCCCAGATGATTCTGAACCCTGATGCTAAATTGAAGGTATTTAAAAATAAGTTAAAAAACAGACTTTGTTAATCTAAGAAAATGGAAATGTATACAGATTAATATATTTTCAAAAATAATTTGTAAATTATTATTAAAAACAGATGTGACTATATTACATATTTGGTTTTCTAATATGTGAAAATTATCCTGTAAGGATTAAACAGTAAAGACGTGACTAGAAAAAATATGTGCAATGCTAAAAATTAGAGGTAGCATCAGTATTAACATTAATTACTAAAATATGGAATCACATAATGATTGAATCTCAGGGTGGAAAGGCACTGAAAGGTTTTCTAGCTCACCACTATTATATTTACATTTCTTATGAAAATTGTCATATTTATGTTTTTTTATAGCTTTTCAAAATCTGATTTTCAATTAACAGTCACCAATTACACTTTTACATGTTAAAAGTTATATCCTATAAGGTTTTAAAATTGTTAATGTTAACTAAGCGATGGAAAGTTGTTTGAAATGTTATCAGCATCATGCCAAAACTAAGATGTTAGTTCTGCCTGATCTTTTTGTACAATTATTACCACATGTATTACAAATTAACAATTTAAGTATTACATAATGAAGAAACAGTATTTATCCAAAGGTCATATTCCTTGATCACCTGCAATAGAGATTTACATAGCCCATAGAAAACTAAGACATTTAATTTGGAAATTAGGGAATTTAAGAAATTGAGTATTTTGGATTTGAGTGTCTTGAGAAATCCTAGGTTATGTTACATGTGTAATTTTTTTCTTCTTAATAAAGGATTTGCTTATGCATAAAGCTGTTTAAATTATATCTGAACTCTGCAGTGAACTCTACATAATGTTTTGTTTTATTTTGGTTTTTGCTTGACAGCATCAGGTCTTTACAGTTCTTGGTCAGATTGCAAAACATTCTGTGGATCTGGCAGAAATGGTGGTGGAAGCAGAGATTTTTCCAGTTGTGCTCACCTGCCTGAAGGACAAAGATGAATATGTGAAGAAAAATGCCTGTACTTTAATTAGAGAGGTTGCAAAGCATACACCCGAGGTAAAAAAAAAAAAAGTTTTTTAAATACAATAATGTTAGTTTTTGTTGTAAAGTTGTAAAGTAAAACACCAACTTGTGTACCAGGCCCAGGTGCTGTGTCACATGATCTGGTTAGGTCAGGGTGTCTCATCCAGAGCACTGTGGACATTTGGACTAGATAATTCTTTGTTGTGGGGGACTGTCCTGTACACTGTAGGATGGATATTTAGCAGCATCCTTGGCCCCTGCCAGTAGCATCCCTTTCCACGTGGTGACAATTGCAAGTGTCTCCATATATTGCCAGATGTTTCCCAGGGGACAAAAGTGCCCCTTGTTGAGAACCCTGCTGGGTTATATTAAAGGAGATTGAGACAGAAATCTCCATTTTTTAATCATTTCCTGCTTTCCATTTCTAGATTGTGGGGACCGAAGATCTTTGCCATTCTTGTCAGTTTAGGTCAGTTGGGAGTGTGAGAGGTTGTACAGTCCCGCGTGGGAGAGACCCCCCAGGCCCTCAGCCTAGTGTGACTCCTCTAGTAGCTGTTCTTACATGGTGGTTCCCGCTTTGAGTTCTTAGACGCCAAAAGCACAGAGAGGAAGCAAACCTGAGTAGATTCTGCAGTTGCATCTTTTTCTGTGTATATTTTGACTAATCAGTTTCATTTCACTGAAGTATAAAGTCCTCATTCTTTATTTCACCTAACATCTTGGTTGAGATTTTTTATGTTTGAAGTGTAATCAGCTAGTAGTCATTGTTTGCAAAGGGGATAATTAGGCTAGAATAGTTCAAGTCTGACATTGTCGTTCAGCATTCAATGATTAATCTGCTTCATACTCACATTGTGATTGGGGCTTTCATAGTTAGCTAGTCATGAACTAGCCCTAGGCTTCATGTCTAGGTGAGGAATTTTGACAACCATTAGAATAGGGATAAAAGTTGTGCTACTGATGCATGAAAACTGAAGCACAGAGTAAGCTCCACACAGTGAGTATATTTGTACATTCAAAATAGGATTATTATATTTGTATATTTCTTTAATAAGTATAGTAATTTCACTAAATCACATTTCAAACTTTACCAGGTGTTTTTAGGTCCTAATTTAAAATGTTTGGCAATATTAAAGTAATATTTACAGATTATCTTATGCTTTACAGTCACAATTACCTAGCTCTTTTTCCTTTCCCTTTGCTTTTGCAGTTGATGGTTAACACAGGACGAGTTCCTGCTGAGATCGCCTGCATTGGCTCTTGAAAAGGAAAAGTAAGGCTGCCTGGCATCTTGATGCTTGGTCATGTGGCGGCTCATTCTGAAAACCTGGCAATGGCGGTGATCATTAGCAAGGTTTGTTCTTGCTTAATTTTCTTCTAGTTATTGCAGTGAGGTTCTAAGACAGAACCATAGAATACGCTCCCACAGATGATAAAATATAACTGACCAGAGTGAAAGAAACCTGAAGAATTTTTCAGCTTGTTTTCAAGGCTTATTAGTAAATTTCCAAAAGTAATGCTTGAAATAAGGTTTACTTTGTAGGCAGTTTAAAGTTTTACTCAGTATTTAATATCTACAAAATATCAATACCTCTGAGTATTAGTATTACCTGCATTGAAATATTCAGTGTATTTGTATCCTGAAGGATTGACTGTATATATTTACAAACATGTAAAGCATATTTTGATTAAGACAGCTATTATAAATTACATGCCCAGTAGTCATTCTCCCCTTTCCTGTCATTTGGGTAGATGATGACAATGGCTGGGACATCCTTTTTCATCCACTTTCCTTCAGCTCTCATGAACTAATTTCTCTTTTTAGATGTAGGCAATTCAGAGCACATGTCAGATAGCGATGTTTTGTGTTCTTGCTTTAGGAATTTGGCCTCATCTCAATTTTTTTTTTTTTGTACAGATAGAATGGGAGGGAGAGAGAGGAAGGGAGAAAGAGAGAGAAACATCGACGTGAAGGGACACATCGAGTGGCTGCCACCCGCACGACCAACCAGGGCCGGGGACAAACTGCAACCGAGGTACGTGCCCTTAGCGGGAACCGAACCCGGGTCTCTCCGGACCGCAGGCCGACACTCTAACCGCTGAGCCATACTGGCCAGGGCTGGCCTCATCTCAATTTACAACTTGGTATTAACCCACCATACATTGTAGCCCTGACACATAGTAGGTGCTCACAAATATTGGTTGAATGAATAAATACTGATCTCCTGAGGAACGCTTCAGAGGCTGTGTGCTCACAGTGTGTCCCTCGGGTGTGGGTTTCTTATCAGCATAGAAAACCTGCTGCTGTATGTTAAACAGAAATGTGGATTTTTTTTTTTTTTTATCCCTTGCTAATCCTCAGAATAAAAGGGAGCCTCAGATATTTATTTTCTACTTATTCCTTGATAATTCTTTGCTTTGCTTACTTTTTATCCTCTGCTTTTCCTTTTGTTCTTCTATTACCAAAGACTATGATCGTGACTAGAACAGTAGTGCTGCTTTCTGCAGGGTCGCTGTGGGGATGTTACTGGGATTTGTGACTTGGTTCTTCTGTGGCCACCAGAAAGCTTGCACATAGGAAGAATGATGAAGGAAGCAGCAACTGCTTTTGCTTCCTATATTTCCTCCCCAAACTAACCAGGAGGCGCGCCCTCCTTTGGTCTAGGGTTGCTGCTGGCCTCTCCCACCTTGTTGTCTCGGGTAGTTAAAGATCAAGATGGCAGCAGCAGTTTGAGCCAAAGCATACACGGTGTTATTCTTTTTTTTTCTACATGGTGCTATTAAAACTAATAGCAGTACTTCACATTTAAATAATACTCGATAATTTCCAAAGCACATACATGTTTCTTATCTCCTTTGCTATTCATAACAGCTGAGGACGGGGTGGAGGAGGCTGGCTTCTTTTCCTCCTGCTTCTTCAGTCTTGATATGTCCCAGAGTATGGACTTTCTGGCAAGTTTCCTCATTCTGAAGACAGGTCTGACCTTTTGTATCGGCAGACAAACATTTTTAGTTGGAAAAAAGAAGTCAATGTAGAAATATGGCAGGTCTCTCCAGGAAATTGGCCATAATAACCAAATTTAAAAGTACAAAGAAAAATCAAGTGTATATGATCATTTGGACTTTGCTATGGTGGCATGACGATGGGACACTGACTTTGGTTAGTGCTAAATTGAAGGTGACAATCATTATAGTCTCAAATTAGAAAGAAAATGACTCCTATGTAGAATCTGGAATTAGAATTTGATTTGGCTATTTGATTCTTTTAGATATACAAACAGATGTAGTCGAGGCCCTGTAATGAATTCTGTTTTGATTATTTAGATAAAACTGAAGCCTAAAGTATAAGCACGTGCTGTCTGTGTAACAAAAGTAATCATTTCTACTTTGACATTGAATCATGTTAAAATGTGCAACACTACCTTTTGAAAGTTGATCAAAATGAATAGAAATGTATTTACTAGTTCAGGAAAGGTTTTAGTAAATATATTTCATCTAAAAGTTACTTAAATAGAATTCTGGCTCACATTATTCATTGGATTTAAAATTTTATTTTGTTGTCAGATCTATTATACTTAGTGAAAAGGCAAATTTTAAAGGATTCTAAATGAACAGTTTTAAAATCTAAGCATTTAAAATTTGTCACAGTGAAGTATGGTTTTGCCTATATACTAATCCGTGGCATCTGTTGTTTGGTTAAATGCCTCTGTATTTAGGGAGTAAATGCCAGCAGAGATAGACTTAGTTTAGTTGGATTGTAACAGATAATTAAGGTAAATTAGTTCTAGTCATTTTATTCACTTGAAAAATGACAGTCCCTGTTTTGCTCATTTATTGAACCATCTAGGAAAAAAAGGATCAAGGTCAAAATGATTTCAGTGTTTGAGAGACATGGAAGACTTTTAAATCCTGCTGTAGATTCACAACACTTGTTCTTTTGATCAACACTGCGGTGTGTGTGCCGGTTGTCAGTCTGCTTGTCAGAAGAACCAGAAGACATATTAAGGCTGCTACTGCAGGGGCTGGGCCCAGACTGGGAAACACTGCGGAGCACTCCGGGGCTGTTGCAGTCACAAATATTCAGCCAGTTCTGCTTGCTTTGTACCTGTCAACAGAAAGCTCTGAGGAACTTCAAGTAAAAGTAAGTGCCTAATTCTTACTGTTCTGTGAAGATTTGTTGGATTTTTACTCAATATGTAATTTTAAATGTTTTAATTTTCTTTATGGACAATATTGCTTTTATGAGTCAAGAAACAAATTTATCAGAAGAACTGAGAAGACTGACTCTTCTTTGTAAATGGGTTAGCCTTGTCTCTACAAATCAGTTCCCTGCAGGTGCACAACTATTTGTGAAATGAATGTCTAGTTGTTGCTTCTACACTCCTGCTGACTTTTCCTACAGAACAGGAATTGAAGAATAAAAGAATTTTGAAGTTAGAATTGGCTGCAGAGAACTTTAGTCCATCTTACATTAAAAATTCCATCTAGCCCTGGCTAGTGTGCCTCAGTTGGTTGAGTGTCACCCCATCCCCCAAAAGGTCTTGGGTTAAAATCTGCTCAGAGCACATGCCCAGGTTGCGGACTCTATTCCCAGTAGGGGGCATATAGAAGGCAGTCTGTCGATGTTTCTCTCTCACATCGATGTTTCTTTCTTTCTCTCTCTCTCTCTCCCTCTCCCTCTAAAATAAATAAAAATATATTTAAAAATATTTTAAACAAATTTAGTCCAAAAGAATTTAAGGTGCTTTCAAATGTATAAAGTAACCGGGCAGGGGGTGCTCCTGAAGTCATGATCTACCTCTCCTAATTTCAAGTCTTCCTTGTCTTTTAAGTATATGTCTTACATTTGTTCCTTAAAAGAAAAATGCCCATAGTATTTCTTAAATTAAACATTTAAAAATATATAGTTTTAAAAATTCAACTTTCTGAAAAAAATATTATTAGCTGCTAAAATGATTCATCAAAAATGAATATAAAGTAGGATGGGTTGTTTGATAATTATAGAATTTCAAAGAAAGAAACTGTTTCCCAGTATACTACCTTATTAGGAAAACATGTAACTTTTTGAAAACAGCTTTTAGAATTGACTTGGATTGAAGAAAGTGCACAGAAAAGACAATAATTCAAAATAAAATTGACAATAGTAAGTCAAGTTATATTTACCATTTAATTAAAACAATAAATTAACCAATAAGAAAACACGTTGATGATACAACGAGGCAGGAAGTTTATTAGAACTGTATAATTCAGGGACTCTGAAAGTTATATATAATAAATTATTTATTTATCATTCTATATATTTATCAATTAAATATTTTATAATGTATAAATTTTATAAAAGCGAATTTATGTACATTTGGTGATATTTACATGTTATTTCCCCACAAATTCATTGAGTAAAGTTGATTTCTAAGATGAATGTGTTTTTCATTTTTTATAAGATTTTCTAGATCAAAACAATGATTTGATAGATTTGGGGCTTCCCTTATATTTCTCTGATGTTGAGTGCGTTCCTTGGCAATGTTTGGTAGGAAGAGTAAGATTAGCAATGTGCTAAGGCCTTGTCTTGTTTCACAATTCTGTGATTTTTTGACTTTCTGGTTTAGAAACCACAATTCCATTTTCAATTTTGAGTTGTCCAGGACCTCTTCTTTACATATATGTAATTTTAACCTATATATGTATTTCTCTTTCAGCTTTGCATTTCTTTAATCCATTACCATTATTGTCTTTTCCTTCTCCTCTTCCCTCCCCAGCCCCCAAATTCCCCTTCTTTCCTCTTCCTTCTTCCTCACTTCACATTTTCCTGCCCTCTAACTCTAGTGACTCGACTATGGTCTCCTCTGCAGGGTCTCTATAGGCGTAAGCTGTGCTGCCAGGCTATGAGAGTAATTATGTTCAACTTCTAGATTATCAACAGATACATTACTAATATCCTAAAAAAGTCTTTATCACTTTCAGATTCCTGCACTCAACAACTTTTATTTGCCTGTAAGTTTTGGAAATAAAGGAATATATGAGCTATAGTGAGCATGAATAATTTATGGTGAAGTCAATAGTAATTATAGCTGAGAGCCCTTGCAAATAGTCTCTTAGGTAGCACTATACAGGGTGGGCAAAAGGGGATTTACAGTTGTAATACAAATAATTAATACAACAATTGATCAATCATAATGCAAGAATAAACTCTGTGTTTCACATATTTACAACTGTAAACCTACTTTTCCCCACCCTGTATTCTTTTTATATACTACCAAGTTTATATAATTTTGTTTTTAATGAATTAGTATGATATTATGATGTATAAATATCACTGGAGTAAAAGTAAGATAATTTTCATTGTGTTTTATTTTAACAAAGGTGCTTTTAGTAAAACAGTTAGGTTTACTAATAGAAGTTAAGTTTCCTTCTGTCTACATTTGATACCATATTTACTTGCAGGAAATACACTGGGTAATAAATTAAATTCTATCAATCATTGTCCTATTAGCAATCTTCCAAGGCTTTCAATCCATTCAAATATTTCCTTAATGCAGGGACTTGATCATTCTTTTTTTTTTCTTCTTCCAGGTCTCTTGGATTCTATCAGTTATTGGATGAAAGTCCAAGTCTGTTTGATTTTACTCTATCTCAGTAGGGAAAAATGCAACCAAGAGTTTCAGAAACTGTCTAATAGTATTTCTCATTTGTTACTCTGTGGCAGCTTTCAAATTGTAAAGCCATGTTGAAGTTTATTTTGTCCCAAAGGCATGTCAACTTCTATAAGCATTCTCTAATTGGTTCTGATTCAAGAGAACCAATAAACAGCCCCTTAAAATTTCTTGTATATCTGCCTTACTATTTGCCTGTGCTCATGTCATTTCAAGTGCCTGTTTAAAAAATGAAAAAATACATTTTTCTTTAAAAAGCTTACCTACAAATATTTTTTTAAATATTCAGGCAATTGCATTTTCATTTGTTTTGATTTAGAGGCATCCTATTGAAATGTTCCATGTTAATTTTGGCATTTGATTAAATTCATTTTATCACCTTAGTTATAAAACTATTTCTTAGATAATTATTTGATTTATCCTGCTCTTATCATAATGATTAGCCCTTTAATTTTTTTAGGAGCTTTATTGAAATGTAATTTATATACCATATAATTTAGCCATTTAAAGTGTTCAATTCATTGGCTTTTAGTATATTCAGAATTGTATAATCTAATTTGAGAACATTTTTATTGCCCCCATTACCCCATATCTTCCCTATCTAGCCCCAGGCAACCATTAATTTACTTTCTGTCTTTCTGTATTTGTCTCTTCTGGACATTTAATTTTTAGAATTGTACAATATATGTGGCATTTTATGTCTGGCCTCTTTCACTTAGCATAAGTTTCAAGGCTCATTGTTGTATAACATATATCGATATTATGTTCCTTTTTATTGGACAATAATATTCTATTGTATTGATATACCACTTTTATTTTAGCCATTTACCAATTGATAAACATTTAGGTTGTTTCTAGCCTTTGACTATTATGTATAATGTTGCTATTGTACAAGTTTTTGTCTGGACTATTTTCTGGACATTTCTCTTGGGAGATACTTAGTGTAATTGTTTAATGTGATTTTTTTTTTTTTTTTTTTTTTTTTGTGGTGCGTGCCCCTAGTGGGAACCGAACCCAGGACTCTCTGGTCTGCAAGTCGATGCTCAACCACTGAGCCAAACTGGCCAGGGCACTTAATGTAAGTGCTAAACAGCTATCTTTGGATTGTATTATCAGTTTCTTGATGATATCATTTGCAGCAACAACACTTTTAAATTTTAATGAAAGTATATATATATGTGTGTATATATATATATACTTTTTGGTGGTGGTGGTGGTGGTGGTGCAGTTGGAGCCATACCTAAGAAGACTTGCCTAACCAAAGGTCACAATATTTATTTCTGTGTCCCCCTTTTATTATAACTCTTTGGGCCAGAATACTTTCAGAACAAAATTGACTTTTGAATAGAAACATTTTTTATTTTAAACAGTTTTTATTAAAAATCACCCATTAAAAAAAGCAATAATGAAGACCTATTATTTTCATTTTTTTGTGTGAAAAACATTTGAAATGGTATCAAGTGTTTGTATTGACAGTTTTATTTTGTTAATTAATATTCTTTTTTAAAAAATTATTTTCAGAGAGAGAGAAACATCAATATGCTGCTTCCTGCACACTCTCTACTATGGACTGAGCCCGAAACCCGGGCATGTGCCCAGACCAGGAATTAAACAGGCAACCTTTTGGTGCATGGGACAACCCCCAACCATCTGAGCCACACCACCCAGGGCTAATTACTATTCTTATGTATATTGTTAAGAGGTAAAATATAGTATTGCTAGTCAATTAGTGTGGTTTTTACAACACCTTTGATCAGTGAAGACCCAGTCAGTTTTTAGAAATGATAGAAGAATGACTGAATATAGAACTTTAGATGCTATGCTAGTTTATAGGAAAACAGGCTCAAACTGTCCTTCTCTGACATCATCATATATTATGTGTGACTAAGGGTAAGCACTAACTACTAAATACAGTGACAGCAAAGTTTATAATCTGTTATTCATTAGTTCAAAGTAAGATATTACTTGATTTACTGATTTAAGTAAATAAAAGAATTTTGTTGACCTCATATAATTTTTTCCATTCACAGTATAAAGTTGTAAGAACTATTTTATTTTACTTAGAATTATAAATAACCTAACATAAGGCACATTTACTAAGGGCTATCAAATTTTAAATCCAACATCTGACATGATCTTGTATATAGAAAATCCTATGGAATACACACACACACACACACACACACACACACACACACAGAAATACTAGAACTAATGAATTCAATAAAGTTATAGGATATGAAATCAAAATATAAAAATCTGTTTTATTTTCATATGCTAATAATGATCAATTCAAATACGAAATTAAAAAAAATAGTTTACTCACAATAGCATCAAAAAGAATATATTATTTATGCCCTGGCCGGTTTGGCTCAGCGGTTGGAGCATCGGCCTGTGGTACAGAGAGACCCGGGTTTGGTTCCCGCTAAGGGCACGTACCTCGGTTGCAGTTTGTCCCTGGTCGTGCGGGTGGCAGCCACTCGATGTGTCCCTTCACATCGATGTTTCTCTCTCTCTCTCTTCCTCTCTCTCCCTCCCACTCTACCTGAACAAAAAATGGAAAAATGTCCTCGGTTGAGGATTAAAAAAAAAAAAAAAAAAAAAAAAGAATATATTATTTAGGAATAAATTTAACAAAAGAAGTAGAAGACTTCTATACTGAAAACTACAAAACATTGCTGAAAAAAAAGAAATATGAATTGAGAAACATTCCATGTTTATGGATGGGAAGATTCGACATTGTTAAGATTACAATACTCCCCATATTGATCTATATATTCAATATAATCTCTATCAAAAATCCCAGCAGGCTCCCCTGTCCCCCCTCCCCACCCTCCTCACCCCTGCATTAAAAAGCTGATTCTAAAATTCACATGGAAATGTAAAGGACCAGACTATCCAAAACAATCTTGACAAAGAAGGATTTACACTGCCTAATTTCAAAACTTACCACAAAGCTACAGTAATGAAGATAGTGTGGCACTTACTTACAGAAAGACATATAACAGTATAATCAAATTGAGAATCTGAAATAGACTCTTTTTTGGTCAATTGATTTTTCACAAAGGTGTCAAGGTAATTTAGTGGGAAAAGGATAGTATTTCTAGCAGATAGTATTTTGAAAAAGCACCAAATTAGATTCTAACATGACAGAGATTTTACTTCCCCTCATGTGCTGCAAAATAATCCTGGAAAGGAGTAGAAAAAAGACTTCTATTCAAGAAAGTACTTTACCATTGGTTAATTCTAATAGGTCATTCCATTTGGGGGTCCTTTAGTTCACTTTTTTTCATTTTTCTATAACTTTATTTTAGAAAATTGTATTGAAAGTTATTTTAAACTTATATAAAATAGCATTCTACCTAAAGAGATGTGTAAATGTGTAAAAATTAACTTTATTTTCTTGAGAAATTATTTTTATATTGTCTGTATTTAGTGATTTTACACATACTTTGTATGTCATATAAACTTTTTGGTATATTATTATATATAGTAGATATACATTTCATGGTATATTTTATATGTATTAATATTTTCAAAGCTAACTTATTGGAACTCTTTTGGTTAAGGAGTTCTCATAAACCTTCCCATAGTGAATGAACATATCTTTGGAAAGAATTTACCTGTAGAATATATGTGAACAGAAAACAAATTTTAATCTTAAAGAAAATTATTTTTGCCCATCCCTGTACATACAAGCAGATGTGGATTTCTATTGGAAAACAGCTGTAGATAAATCCAATTGTGAAGCCTTCCAAAGCGAATCACAACTAGCATGGCCTTAGAGCTGGCTGTGGATGTGCTCCAGTCTCATCAGTGTCCTTCTTCAGCTATACCTTGGGGGGGGGGGGGCACCCCATGGTGTCACCATGAAATACAGGGGAGAGTAGGCAAGGTACCTATTCTTTTGTTTGTGGGTGATACACTCCTTTGTTGAGCTTTCCTCTACAGTTGAGTAGATTCTTTGTGCTTCTGTAAGGGGGGGTCATTTCTACCCGTGATCTATAGCAGCATATCTGCAAATGCTCACTGAATATTGCATACCATAGAATATTTCTGACTACATACCTATAAGCCATGAAGCCTTTCGGAGAACATAGAATCCCTGATAATGGCTTTCTACAGTAAGCTAAGTATTTTCTCATATTTGTTGATTGGAAGAAATAGGACATTAGTTATCTCACAGTATCATATATACAAATTTTTACACCAAGAAAATATAATACATATAATTTTCAGTCTATCGCTTTATGATTAATAATTTTAATTTCCTCATAAGTATTTTAAGAGCGCAATAATACACTATACATTTTAAAATTTGACACAAAAACAACTGGCAGGGTATCCTATGATAAAACCAGTGAAAGGCAGAAGGGATTTTTCTGGCAACTCTTTTTAAAAAATGAAACAACTGCAGCTTAGACCAGGAAATTGATTTCATTTCAAATTCCAGGAACATGAGACATGAATTTTTGTCAAGCTTTCATTGACTGCTTACTTTGGTATGTACTTTGCTTTGTGTTTCAACAGAGTAAAAAAGTCATAAAGAGTATCTTACAAAAATGCACCTATTTACCAGCCCTTGAGCCATTTCTATATGATGCTCCTCCCAATATTCTGAAGCATGTGGTTGGACAGTTCAGTAAGGTAAGAAGTGCTCTTAGCCTGTAAGTGGAGGAAGAAAATAAAAATAATTTTTTTTTTTCTGGTGGGTCAATGTTATCTTCTGTAAGATGAGGGCAGGGTTCTCCTACTTAATTCTCACTGATTGTATTGACAGGGATGGTAACATAGATTAATAAAATTCACAGATATATAATTCACATTTCCTTCTTCCTCACAATCTCTGTATTGTCTTTTTAGTGTTCTTGAGGATTAAATAATATATCAACACATAAAAACCTCATAATATAGAAAATTTATATTATTAAGTAACTTTTAGTAATTTTCCTGGTGTCTGTTAGCCTCACTCATCTGGGAACACTGTAAAACCTTATAAACAAAAGGAGAGCCCTGGCCGGTGTGGCTCAGTTGGTTGGGCATCATCCTCTGCACCTAAAGGTTGCTAATTCAATTCCAGGTCAGGGCACATGCCCGAATTGTGGGCTTGATCCCTTGTAGGGGGCATGCAGGAAAGAGGTAGCCAATCAATGTTGCACTCTTACACATCGATGTTTCTCACTTCCCCTTCCTCTCTCTCTAAAAATCAATAAAATTCTTTTAAAAAGAAAAGAAAAGCAGAATTGTCTCTGAACCACTGAAATACTTTCCGCAAAGTTCATGTACTTACTTGGAGATGTTCTCAGTCATTTGAAGTTTATTGATTTATATTATGAACAATTTTAACAAATGTAACTGTTATATTTCTTAGTTTATTGCAGATTAAAAGTAGTAAGGTAGGAAGGTCAAGCTGCTAGCAGTGGGTAGCAGCCAGCTGGACAGACTACTGATAGCAAAGGCTAAGAATGCCTGCATTGCACAGCCCCTGATGGCCAGGATGGTGACCCTAAGCCATCAAGAATTGGTTCAATTGTGCTCAGGTGATATGGTTTAAGAAACACCCCCTACTGGGGATCAAGCCCATAACCCAGGGATGTGCCCTGACTGAGAATCAAACCATGACTTCTCAGTCCATGGGACGATGTTCAATCCACTGAGCCACACCAACCCGGTTTTATCAAAGTCTTAATCTTTCTAAACTTTAGTGTGATTACCCAAACAATGGGAATAATAAGAGCACCTATTTCATAGGGTCACTGTAAAGTTAAATGAGATGTATATTCTCTCTCTCTCCCCCATTTTTTTCATGTGGGAGGCAACCAAATATTTGGTGGCCTAAGGGGGAAAAAAAAGTTAAATGAGATGTTATATGAAAAGAGTTTAGCTCAATCCTAGGCATAATATTAAGTGCATGCGTGCACACACACACACACACACAGTTGTTTTTAAGATATAAAACATGGAAGCAACTAAGACTAATTAAACAGTATACTATTGTTATAAAGATACTAACAGCCTAAACTTCTCTGAACTGTTCCCAGATCTTGAACAGTTTGGCTGACCCTCAGGCACCGCAGGCACTGGATGGTAGGTTTTCCACTGCTGAAGCTGCCTGAGGATACAATTCTGTGTCAAACACCTCTGTCCTTATCTCCCTTCTTTAAAGAAGTACACAAAGAAAATAATTAAACATTCCCCCACCCCCGTTCTAAGTAAGAAACTGACCAGCTAAATGTGGGAGGGGGGGCAGTAAGAAGCCGAGTGGAGTCATCAGCTCGTGAAAATGAGTAGTTGACACTATTTCTGAAGGTTTCATTTTATAGCCAAGCTTTTAGGCTGGTGGGATATTCTAGTTTTATTGAACTTACTATTAAAATGAACACTAATCCAAATTAAGAGTTAAAAACCAGTCACTAAAGTAAATAAAAATAAATCAAAGAGATTGTGGAAGGTTAGATAGCCAAGATAAAATAAAGACAGTCGTACCTCATGTTATACACTCAGAAAGGTGCCTTCAGGAATATTTGCTTCAGGCAGAATTTTGTGTTATCTTAACCTCAGGATACCAGAGCACTGGACAGAGAAGGGAAAGCAAGGCAGAAGGTAAAAGGACAGTTTACTGTGGCTGGGGGCGGACATGGGTATGAAAACTCTCCAGGCCAGTAAGATGTTTAAAACTGATGTATCTGTGGACCATTCCTTTTTTAAAAAATACATACTTGTGTGATATTTTACTGTCCAGGTGATGTGTATTAACATCCAATTGGCTGGAGCCTTTTGTAGGTTTAAGTATTTGTTAAGTGCCCACATGTACCCTGTAAGGCTTTGAGGGACAGACAAAAAGAGTGAGACAAAGTTCTTCTTCAAGGAACTTCATAACCTAGCTGGGGAGACCAGCAGAAACACTTAGAGAATACGTCAGCGTGCTAGACTTCACAGTAAATGTTTTCATAGGAAGGGATATGTGGATGCGGTCTGAGGTATTCCGGGACGGCTTCAGTGGAAGAGGTACACGTGAAAAAAGCTGGTTTTGAGGAAAGCGTAAGAACGGTGGGGAAAGAAAGGGTGCTTCTGTCAGAGGAATAGTAACAATGACCAAGGAAGAGTGGGATCCCCACTGTGAGCCCCCTCTCCAGGACACCCCTTGTCTGTTGTCCTGCACAATTAATTTCTTCATCTGCACTGGCTCTTTCCTCTCAGCACACCAACATCCACTGTCAGATCCAGTGACTTTCTTTAGTCCTCACTGGCTGCTTCTTAAAATCTTCTCTTGGATTTGTTGATTCCTTACTTTCCTCATTCTTCTTCTATTCTTTAACATCTCCTCAATTTCCTTTTTCTGCCTACTCCTTAGTATGTTCATTTATTTGTCGAATATTAATTGAGCATCTATTAGGCACCAGGCACTAGAGAAATAAATGAATGAATAAATTTACAGTTTCTGTCTTCATGATATTTATGTGTGACAGACATATAGACTGATAGTAAATTGTTATGTGGCAAATTCATGGGGTTTAACAGAAGGCTATGAGAGAAGAAAAGTTCCTAACATCCTGGGATAAGAGAAAGTTTCTTAAAGGAGGTAACACCTGAGCTGAATCTTAAAAAATATGCAAGAGTTAGCCAAGCAAAAGGGGGAGGTGCACGGGAGGTCAAAGGGCATTATCAGAGAGGAAACAGCATGGGCAAAGGCAAGGAATGACCCAGCTGCACCCTTTGAGGTTATTGAACAAAATTTGGGATAGAGATTCTTGGGAAAGGGAGCTGGAGAGATATTTAGTTGCTGGGTCACAGAAGACCTTCTGAGCCTTGTTAAGGAGTATGCCTTTAATTTTGAAGGTAGTGGAAAGATTTTGAATGGGTGTCAGCAAAGCAGGGACACCACCTTATGTTGTATGTACATGAGTGGATTTGCATTGCCTTTGCTCATATTAATTGCCTTTATTTCATCTGCACAACATAAAAACTTCATACATTTCTAAAAAGACTGAATCTTCCAATCATCAGCAAATTTAGGCTCATCATGTTACAAGCATATTGGACATAAATTCTCTCTTACATTTCCTTGGATATATTTTTGCTTTTCAGTAGTAACAATCCAACTTGGAAAAGAAAAGCTGACATTTTAATGTCCTTCACTTTTTAAGGTGCTGCTGCTAAAAGCGAAGCTTGACGACTTTTGGTAACAAGTGGTGGACTTAAAAAGGGTCAAGAGATAAAAGCAGAACCTGATCTCTTCTTCAAAAATACATCAGTAGTATTAACTGCTACTCAGAAGAAATAATAAGGTGGGAAAATAGACTTTGAGAAGTTCAAAATTATAATGTGGGTTTTCTGTTTTCAAATCTAGATTTTATATCCACTGTGTCAAAATGTGGACTTAAAAATACTACATGAGACCAGTGTATGCCTTTACCTCTGCTCTGGATCACATTTTCCCCTCACAAGTTAAATAATGTTCTGATTGACATACACATTTCCAAGTTGAACTGGAAGGTCATTTGAGACATTTCTGTACTGATTTAATACATGCTTTACTAAAATCACCTAAATACAAAATTCAAATTGAATGAATCTTTAATGGGAATCTGATTTAGAAAGGGACTATAGATTCTGATTTTCATAGTTCCCTGCATATTATTAAGCTCACACCTATATTACTGAGAGTATTACAAATAGAAAATAAATGTTGTCAAAAAATGTTACAATTTACATTTGAAAAAAATGAAATAATGTTTATGAGTGTGAGTGCTTCATAGTAACGTAGCAGAAAGCTACTTTCAAAATTAATTTTTTAAAATGAGGTTGATTTGAAGAGCATTAAACCTAAAGAGAGAACTTTGTAAGCCTAAAAGAGAACCATACCACTAAACCTAAAATAAATAAAAGGAAAATTACCTCCCTGGTAACTTTCCTTTTATTATGTGAAAAAATGCCCATAACACATGTAGAATTAAAGTCCATCTTTTTTCTGATCTTACATTTATTTCTTACTTTCTCTAATTAGTACTAGAGAATATAAATTCCAATTTTAAAACATAACTTAGAATGAACAAAATAGACCCAGAGAAGAGAAAAAATGGCGGTGGAAAGAATGGAAGCTACACAGATGATCTCCCAGGACCAAATGGGAATTACAACTAAAATAAAGATATCTCGTCGAAACAAAGCAACAGAAAAGCAGCGGGAAAGGACCATATAACCAGGGACACTGGTCGGCTCTGCAGAGGTGTGACAGGGTGGCGGGCTGGGAACCCACGACAGTAGCGGCCTTAGCTGTGAGCAGTGCTCTCAGGGTTAAAATCCCAAGCTGGCTCCACAGTGCAGAGGGCCAGGATAGAGCATTAGATTGGCTACAGCCACTCACCTTGGGCTCTGGCAGAGGAAAGATAGACTGGACTGGAACTCTGTGGGGACGCCCAGTATTTGGAGAGCACTCAGAATTTTTGCTGAGTTGTGGCCACAAAGGACAGTGGCCAGCTTGCTCCTTCCTGGCCACACAGAACAGTGGCCAGCTTGCTTCTTCCCTGAGCTGTGGGGAGAAAGAGCAGCCCCTCCCTTGGAGATTCAGCCCCATTCAGGTAAGCCAAAAAATGCAATTTGAGGCTCATTAACAACCAGCATCTGTTCCACCCTCTGGAAATCTTCTTATACAGAACACCAGAGGGCTACATTCCAAGGCCCTGAGTAACTGAGACTAATAACCTCCAGGCAAAAAGCTAGAGGATAGCTGAACCTTTCCTGGGATTGCTCATCTACCCAGGAAAGTAATACTTGACGGTGAATTTTTTTTTTTTTTTTTTTGGTTTTGTTTTTTTATCCTCACCCGAGGACATTTTCCCATTTTTTTGTTCAGATAGAGTGAGAGGGGGAGAGAGGAAGAGAGAGAGAGAGAGAGAGAGAGAGAGAGAGAGAGAGAGAGAGAGAGAGAAACATCAATGTGAAAGGGACACATCGAGTGGCTGGCAACCGCATGACCCAACCAGGGCCAGGGACAAACTGCAACCGATGTACATGCCCTTAGCAGGAACCAAACCTGGGTCTCTCTGGACCGCAGGCCAACGTTCTAATCACTGAACCAAACCGGCCAGGGCTGACATTGGTGTTTAACATGGGCTCTCCCACGCTCATCCTAACCCAGTAGAGGTAGCAACAAACAGCAGAACACCAACACCCACAATGAAAATTTGGCAGGCTCCAAAACCCATTGAGATAGCCAAAATGGTGACACAGAGAAACAAATCCAAATAAAAGAACAAGAGAACTCTATTGAAGATAAGATAAATGAAATGCACTTAAGCAAATTATCAGAGGTAGAGTTCAGAGCCATCATCTTGAGGAAACTCAACAGCATGAGTAAGGACATCAACACCATGAGTAAAGATATAGAAACATTGAAAACCAACCGAGTGGAAATGAAGAATGACATAGCAGAAATAAAAAAAAAACATTGGAAGAAATAACCAGCAGAGTAGAGGAAGCTGAGGACCGGATCAGTGAATTAGAAGACAGGGTAGAAAAAGTCAACCAATCAGAGAACCCAAAGGAAAAAATAATTAAAAAACAGAAAGACAGCTTAAGAGAACTGTGGGACAACTGGAAACGTAACAATATTCACATCATAGGAGTTCCTGAAGTAGAAGAAAATGGGCAAGGGTTAGAGAACATATTTAAAGAAATAGTGACAGAAAACTTTCCTAATTTGGTGAAGGAAGAAGGCATTCAAGTTCAAGAAGCACAGAGAGCCCCAAGTAAGAAGAACCCAAACAGGCCCACACCAAGACACATAGTAATTAAAATGCCAAAAATTAAAGACAAAGAGAGAATCCTAAAAGCAGCAAGAGATAAGCAACAGGTTACCTACAAAGGAAACCCCATAAAGCTCTCAGCTGACTTCTCAACAGAAACACTAAAGGCCAGAAGGGAATGCCATGAAATAATTAAGGTCATGAAAAACAAGGATCTGAATCTAAGACTACTCTTTCCAGCAAGGCTATCATTCAAAATAGAAGGTCAAATAAAGAGCTTCCTTCCCAGACAAAAAAGGCTAAGGGAATATATTAGCACCAAACTAGCACTGTAAGAAATGTTAAAAGGAATGCTGTAATTAGTAAAAGAAATAGGAAGAAAAATATAATTACACTAAACAAAAATGGCAATAAATAAGTACAAATCAATAATCACTTTTAATGCAAATGGTTTGAATGCTCTGGTAAAAAGACACAGAGTAGCTGACTGGATAAGAAAGCATGACTCACATATATGTTGTTTACAAGAGACCCACCTCACAACAAAAGATTCACATAGGTTGAAAGTAAAAAGATGGAAAAAAATCTTCCAAGCAAACGGAAAGGGAAAAAAAGCTGGGGTAGCAATACTCATATCTGATAAAATAGATTTCAAAATGAAGGCCATAACTAGAGACAAAGAAGGCCACTACATAATATTGAAAGGATCTATCCAACAGAAAGATATAACCTTGGTAAATATATATGATTTGGATCCCTTTTATTTTTTCTTCCTGTCTGATTGCTGTGGCTAGGACTTCCAGTACTATGTTAAATAAGAGTGGCGAAAGTGGGCATCCTTGCCTTGTTCTGGTTCTTAAGGGAAATGCTTTTAGTTTTTGCCCATTGAGTATAATGTTGGTTGTAGGTCTTTTATATATGACCTTTATTATGTCGAGATATGATCCCTCTATTCCCACAGTGCTGAGTGTTTTTATCAGAAATGAATGCTGGATTTTGTCAAAGGCTTTTTCAGCATCTATTGATATGATCATGTGGTTTTGATTTTTCATTTTGTTTTTGTGATGTATCACATTTATTGATTAGCGAGTATTGTACCAGCCTTGCATCCCAGGGATGAATCCCACTTGGTCGTGATGAATAATTTTTTTGCTGTATTGCTGGATCTAATTTGCTAGTATTTGTTGAGGATTTTGGCATCTATGTTCATCAAGGATATTGGCCTGTAGTTTTCTTTCTTTGTAGTGTCTTTTTCTGGTTTTGGAATTATAATTATGCTGGCTTCATAAAACGAGTTTGGAAGTTTTCCTTCTTCTTGAATTTTTTGAAATAGTCTGAGGAGAACGGGTATTAGTTCCTTGAATGTTCGGTAAAATTTCCCTGTGAAGCCATCCAGGCCTGGGCTTTTGTTTGCTGGGAGAGTCTTGATTACTATGTGTCTTGGTGTGGGCCTGTTTGGGTTCTTTTTACTTGGGGCTCTCTGTGCTTCTTGAACCTGAATGCCCTCTTCCTTCACCAAATTAGGGAAGTTTTCTGTCACTATTTTTAAAAATATATTCTCTAACCCTTGCTCATTTTCTTCTTCTTCGGGGACTCCTATGATGTGAATGTTATTACGTTTCCATTTGTCCCACAGTTGTCTTAAACTGTCTTCCTGTTTTTTAATTATTTTTTTCTTTTGGTTATCTGATTGGTTGATTTTTTCTACTCTATCTTCTAATTCACTGATCCGGTCCTCAGCTTCCTCTACTCTGCTATTTAGACTTTCCAATGTGTTTTTTATTTCTTATATGTCATTCTTCATTTCTTCTTGGTGGTTTTTAATTTACATCTGGTTGATTTTCAACATTTCTATGTCTTTACTCATGGTGCTCATGTCCTTACACATGCTGTTGAGCTTCCTCTAGATCATGGCTCTGAATTCTAATTCTGTTAACTTGCTTAACTGTACCTCATTTATCTCATCTTTGGTAGAGGTCTCTTGTTCTTTCATTTGGCTTTTGTTTCTGTTTATCACCATTTTGGCTATCACTGTGGGCTTTGGAGCCTGCCAAATTTTCCCTGTGCTTGTTGGTGTTCTGCTGTTTGTGGCTCCCTCTCCTGGGTTTGGATGAGGCAAGGAGGACCCACTTTAAAAACCATTGTCAAGTCTTAACTTTCCTGGTTAGAGTTGCTAGCCCAGGGAATGGTAGTTATTCTCTAGCTTTTTTGCCTGGAGGCTATTAATAGGGGTCACCTGAAGAACCTTGGTTTCTGAGTTGAATGAAAAACTCCCTCAGGTTCTCAGTGTTCAAGGATTTCCCGAGGGTGGGGCAGATGCTGGTTGTTAATGGGCCTCAAGTAGCATTTCGGTGGCCACCCGGTGGGGTTGAATCTCTGAGGGAGGGGCCACCACGTCTCCCCAGGGCCCTGGGAAGGAGTAAGATGACCACAGTCCTGCGTGGCTGCACTCAGCAAAAGCTTGAGCACCCTCCAAATCTCAAGTGTCCCCACACAGTTCCAGTCTAGTCTGCCCTCTATCTGCTGGAGCCCAAGGTGAG